TATTAATAATAGAATTTCGAGACAGAATCTAAATTACTGACTCAAAAACTAGAGAAATTTATTGATCGAACATCGAAAAAATCGTTGTCGGAATAATTCTCTCTGTTCGATAAACCCTACAAGCCAAGTTTCTTATAATGAATGTAGTCCGTGAGTGTGAATGTATGTGTGGTCGCCCTCGTGAACGTAAGTAAATGTCTGTATTATTTGTGTCTTAGTATTAATTTAGCATACGCCAATCTGCCCAGTGTTACAATTTTTCCTGTATAAGTTTGTTTCAAATTTCATGTTTTCAATGCCATGGGACTGTAAATTCCAATATAGCTGTAAACCATTGATTAGTTTTGTCAAATTGTTATAATCGTCTTGATCGTTATAATCGTCGAATTTTGGAATATTTAAAATATATAAGATTGAACCTGTTAAAAATTTATTTACAAGCAATCTACAGGTTTATATTTAAACATCTGTCTTTGTTCAATGTACAATTAAGAAACATTATTGTATTTTAGATTAAGTTTATTGTCGATTAAATTTTAAAACCCGGTGTGAGAAAGTGATTGTATTTAAGGAATTAAAAGTAACGGTGCATTGTTTCATGGTCGAAGGTTTAGGAGGGAATACAATAGATCATGAGGATAAACTCCCATTAGAGTCAGTAAATTATAATTAATCAAACGTACAAATGATCTTGCTCAGAAGTAAATCAGCCCCTTGTATTGAAACAACGACAGTGATGGTACTTAAATACAGATCACTGACAAAATAGTTCCTGTTGGAATAGTAGGCCTATACAACCGGCCGGCTGTGACAAATATATATTTGGGGAGTTTGTTGGTCTCTACTAAACACTGATCTATTATTTATTTTTCCGTGGACATTGCACGTTTGGTGGTTTTGACCAAATTTGATATATACAATTTTACAATCTTATGCTATGCCTGGAATCAAGCCTGTATAAATTCAAAATAACATTAATTTGAGAACAATCAATGTAATTTGTAAAAAAAAAAACATTTTTTGTACAATGTATAAATTCTCCTTCAAATACCATCTTTAATTTTCCTTATCCGATCGTACCAATACATTTACAATTTGCTGTTGTCTTTGCATTTTTATTAGTTTAAACCACCGACTAAGGTGAGTCCAAGTTTATTTAAAATATAATCTGTCAAATTAAAAGTGATTCCAAAAAATCAGACAGTCAGTAAACTGTTTATTTCAAAATGTTGAGTGTCATAAATTGGTAATTTCAAAGGTATTTACTTAAGTATATAAGAAGTGTTAGAAATAAGCTCAAAACAAGGTGTTTGAAGGAGGACAGAAGACAACACTGTACGTTAATTCCTATTCCCTGACAAAGCCCCTACGGCTCCTTGTTTCTAGGAACCGTCTTGCTAAAGAACGAGCTCTTTCATGTTCAATACTAACTAAAGTAAAATCTCACAGCCTAGTATTGGGCATAGAATTCCTTAAGTAGTTCTTTATTATTTTTAGTTTAGAAAAAGACTTTTAACTATACTTGCAACAATTATGGGTAATGTAAGAAACATTATGAGTGCTGTGTACATATGTTTGGCACACTTGATGCAATAAACTTATTCCTAATCAATAGATAGAAAATCAGCCAACTGGCTGATTTTTCTTATTTTATTACTTTTGATATCGTCTTTGACTACATTTTTAAGCAAATTACTTCATTGACCAAAACATAAACAACGATAAATAAACAAGAGCAGTAAATTCTTGTGATAAGAACAAGATAAGCACAAAGCGCAGATGTGCACCTTCGCGCCGAGGAAATAACGATGATAGTTAACAAAAGAGTCATCAACATACTGTTGTGACTGTAACGGAATAAAGTACCAGGAATATTTTTTTTACATTTATTTTCGGTAAGCTTGAGGGAGTTTTGCTTCAACATCCAGAATAGCCTATCAGTTTTTGGCGCCCCTAAGGCCTGCGCCCCAATGCACCGTTTTGGTTGCATTGGTGTTACGCCACTGCATACAGTAGTACATAATGAAACCCCATTTGATTAAACCGGTGATAAATAGCTGTTTTCCAGACTAAATACTTGCATGGTAAGTTTGTTATAAAGGTGTGTAGAGTGGTAAAAAAAATTTACATTTCAACAGCCTAGTGCCCAAAAAAGACTATGTTTTGACAACAGTAAGAGTAAATACCATACTCGTATAATTTCTTGATCTTGAGGAATTGTTATTTAATTTTACCATCATATGCAAGACTATCAGGTATAATCAGGAGTTATTAATATTATCTCTGTATTAAGATCACTAAAATTAAAAGATACTTAACATTTTAGTCTATACCATGAAAAAATGGTACGGAGAAATGGTACTCGTAGTTAAGTGAAGTGGTTGTCTAGATGTTACATCATGTTCATCACAGTATAGTAGGCATTGGCTCAACCAACACAGCCCTTTTTTTTATTTCCCGCTTTTTGGCAATTTTGCAGGTAGCATGGGCGTCAATACAGTGAACAACGCTAATAATATCTATAATGTTATGTAATAATATCTGTGTTGTATATAATATCTGTAGGTTATTGTATGCATATAACTGTCCATAAGAGGGCTGGGGGAACTGGAGGGTATGAGGAATAACCCCCAGTAAAAAGGGAGGTTAAGGGTCCTCACATGGCAAATGTTTAACATTTATGTACAAAATGGTCGATATTACAAATTGCTGTAACTAAATGTGTTTTATGTATTGTAAATGTATTTTTTTTAATAATTTTTCAAAATTGTAAAAATTTGGTTAACGTAGGGACCAACGGAACATAGAATTTGTGGTGGGAATTTTGGGAACATTGGGACGTGGATTGTTGGACGCCCATGGTAGGCAGTAATAAAAGCAAGGGCTTGCCTTAATGTCATTACAGAACAAATGATTTAAAGAAATTACCTGACTATGTATCACACTCAATACACATGAATTCTTGAGCTAGGGTAGGCTTGGAGTTCTACGAAAATCAGCTTCGTAGAAAACAGAGAAAACAACTTTGGAATAGTTTCCAATCTTGAACAACTTCAAGCTTCAAATCAGCACACCAGCATGTTGGAATCTGAATAAACTAGCAAACATATTCTTCGAAATGTGCTTTAAATAATGTGCATATTCATCCAGATAGTAATTCTAGTGGAATTTCATGGAGATTTTTGGATTATGAACACTGTAATGAGGCCTCTCAAGCTTAAAAATTCATGTCACATTTGCAAAAGAAAAAAAAAACTTTATGAAGACGAAACAAACTCGGTACTTGCTAGCCAACCAGAAGATAGAAGCAACCACTCTCTAATTCTGAGAATAGATGGAAAGAGTTCTGCCATGTTAGTGGGAAACAGATCCTTACACATCCCCAAAGAAAGACGAAGTCAAAAGTATTGAGACACGCAAAAGAATGAAGGAAGTTAAAATTAACAATAGGCAGAACTATATATAGGCCTACTTTTAATAAAGACAGTAATTTATAGATTCCAAAAACTTTAAAGAAAAGTCCGACTTTCTTAGACTTGTTACCAGAAATAAGTTTATTAGTCTTTAGAAAGATGGAAACTATGTATTTGAAAAAGTACACATGTAGGCCTACACAAATTTACCAAGTTTACTGACTCAAACACTTATTTTACAGCACGTAATACTATGTGACGTGTAAGTATTAGGCTAACTCCTAAGGAATCATGAATTGAGAGGATAAATTTTAAGCGGCAGCAACGGGACACAAACCTATGAGAGTACATTAGTTTCACGGTTCAGTTTACTACTGACCAAGCCACCAACTCGCCATGACCATGATGATGAATTTTATCATAGTTTATTTAGCAGAATGGAACTTGGGTAAATGTCACTAAAAAGTAAAAACAGATTTTTTTCTGTTCAGCCAACCCGACCAGACTGATCAGACCAGAAGCGGGGTGACGCTCCTACCAGCGCTCTATGCAGCCAGTCTCACGGTCTTTGCTCACAAACACTCCACAGTCACAGTGCACGCGGCACAAAGCATTTGTGTTGTTATTAAAGTTATTTAACTTAACTTGTTGTTGTTTAACTTTTTGTTAGTTAAATTTGTTTATAATTTTGTGTTTTTAGTCAACTTTAGCATAGTTTTTGTTGTTTAGTATTTGTTATTGTTTTCGGTTTGAAAAATGGACAGCAATTGAGGTTTTAGTAGTATTTGTCTTTCTGGTTCCACAAAGCCACTTTCTTATGTTTTATTATATGTTTTATAGTCACTTGGGCCACGGCCAACTTTGTCAACCATTTTAGCACAATCTAAAAAACAAACAGACGAAATAAATAACATCAACTATACACCAACCTCGGTCAAAGATTCAAAATTCAATGCGACTGGGTCTCTGGGTCTGGTCTGACCGGGTGAAAAAAACAAACTATTTTGAGTTGTTTCCGATAAGCTCAGACCCGTTCCTCCTTCCCGACACTACAATTGTGCCAGTGTAGGAGGGTAGACGGCTACTTGTGTTTGTTTCTGGCAGACCCTGTCAGACTCGCGCAGACCCGCTCAGACCGTCAAATTCCGCTTCCAATGTAGGTTGCGCTTTAGCAAGTTCTGCTCATTGACCAAATTTGAAGATAGGGCATTTAACATGAGGTTAGCGAGTTCCAAAGCCAATCCTGCTGACCCATGGTAGGCATTTGGAATTTAATCAAAACAAAATCCCTGCGTGTTTCTTTAGAAGCAAAACTAAGTGTTCGTCTTCTAAAATTAATAAAAAAAGTGTAAATTTCAGTTTGTTACGAACCTGTTTGGGTAATATCCATTAGCCTACAGAAACTGGAAATTCGCTTAGGCTAGTATGCAAGGTTCCTGCAATGGAAGTAGTTGTGTCTAGTGCTGTATGTAAGATTTTCAAAGTGAAAAATTATTGAAGGCAGTTGGCAGTAAGTTATGGGCCTTTTAAACTTAATTTTGTTATTGACATAACTACAGGGTGGTAAAAACTTTTACAGAGTCATAGTTAACATTTCATTCACAATCTGCATTTTATTAACACTGTTCAAACTCTAAAGGGTACAATTATGTCACACAACAGGTAAGTTAATGGATATCAAACATACTTTTTAATCTTGGTTTGAAAGAAGTCACCATCTCCTTGAGTAGCCTGGCGGTTTATAGCTTGATGTCTTTCTTTGCTTACAATCTCCTCAATGATTTCTCCGTCACCTCTGATAAGCCTGAAAATGTCAACATATACTGGGTGAGTCAATGAAACGGGCTATTTTCTTATAACGTTAGTGAATAGAGGGGAAGAAGGAAAGGGGCCGAGTAAGTTACCCTGCGTTCCCAACCTCTGGAAGTTTAGTTGCCATACTTAGTTGCCATACCATCAGCAAAATATGCAAGATGGCCCAGAGCTAATTCACAGCCTATGGATGAGCGATGAGGCTCATTTTCACTTAACGGGATGCCAATAAGCAAATTTTTGATATTGGTCGGTCCACAAGCACATCATGAATGGCCAGTTCACTCTAATAAAGCTACGGTTTGGTGTGTCGTTTCTTCCATTGACATGAAATGGGGATATTGCCTGGCCCCCTTGATCCTCTGACCTCAGCTCCTTTTTTTTGTGGCTTGACTAAAAGTTTAAGGAGTTGACTCTGATATTATTTTCAAGACTTGATGCTTGTTTTGTTGGTTCAACACAAACTTCCACTCATTTACTACGTTTTTTTAATGAATAAATCGATCGTATGATGTTTGACCTTTTTTTAATACTTACCGAAAAATGGCCCGTTTCACTGACTCACCCTGTATTTTACACTCTTATTAGCTAAGTTGAATTTAAATTTGTGCAATTCTAATGACATTAGTTGTAATGCTGTGGGGAGACAGAGAAGGCCTCTCCTCCTCCTGAAGATCATTCCTTGTGCAGTGTTAAGAAAATAATTATGAATTTAACAACATTTTTTACAACTGGCAAAATGCCAGAAGCATTTACAAGATAAAATATTTAATTGAAAACTTAAAACCAGGGAAGGAGCTAGAGCTTGCCGAAAGTTACTAACTTCCAACCTAACTAAGCGCCTTAATGCAGAAACTTTTACACGCTAAACTGTCACCCAAGCTACATCAAAGCATCCCAGCTGAACATGCTGGTTTCAAACCTTGGCCGAAGACTTCCCCGTCCTTGTAGGAGCTACTTCGGCCATCCAGGGACATAATTTATTTTTATGGTAAAAACCCTACAGCTGCAGGTCAAGGTTTTTTAATTTCCTGCCTAAAGATATTGTAGGAATTAAATTATACTAAAGACATTTAAAAACAAATTTAAGATATTTATAATCAACAAATGTTACTACTCATTTACTGAGCATTTTTATAACTTTTTCAAAATTGTGTACATATTGACGCCCCCCTCTGTATTTATAGGCCTATAATGTAAATCTTGATTAAAGTGTTTCTGCATCTGATTCTGACCGCTTTCACACTCAGTGTGGTCCCAGTCCAGATTGGAACATTTATCCAGACTAATTGAAGGCCAACATTAAAAATAGTTTCAGTCTGCTATCTGTGTTCAGAGGGCACAGTGACTTCACAATCAAAAATAAGTGGCTTACTTATGCTTGACATGTCGTAACTACAAAGAAAGTACACCCACCAAGAAACATTAAGATCCACTGGTTTGTAAATAGGTCAATTCTTTCTCCATATCGTACAACCCACTTTCAATCTACAAAAGGCAGTTGACAAGAGAACTAAGAGAACCAACTGCACTCAACTCCTGATACTGGCAAAACTGCTGATTGACTTACTGTAACTAGCAAAATAAGCCCTGACCATACTGGTGTGAAAGCAAGATAAGCCAGTAAGAGCTGATATGTAAAAATAACAGATAAAACAGGATTTTCTTTGACCTGTCAAGCGGGGTTTTTATTTTGGTCGTGAGGAAACACTGGTTGTTATAAATATAGCCTACCATGTATTTTTTTCTGTAAAATGGTGAATCAATTTACAAATACATAGCTAGCCATTTGTTCCGGACTCGGATTGGAAGTATTGAGCTTTCTTACTTATTTGATACTAACTTACCTACTTGATACTTGGTTACTTCATCCTTGACCAACAAAGTTGGATTGATTGCGTCTTATTTACATTAAAAACATTTAAAACACAAAAACATATATATACAACTAAGCAACAATGGCGGGAATGAGTCACATTTCTCGGATGAGTCACATAGCCAGACAATACTTTTTACACACTACCAGCAACAAATGTACAGAGTAAGAAATATACAATCCGTATATACAATCAAAACACTGTTTAACCTTACTAATTTATCTATCATTTCGCCACTTTGAAAACATGGAATAAGATAGGGTACTCTAACTCATACCAGTTTTTGATTTATCAGGTAGCACACTAGTGCTAATTTCTCTTACAGTAACTGAACTATCACAATATTTCTCTGTTGAAATAGATCTTCATTAGGCTAATTAATTAATTCTACACAATATTAGGTCGTAAATTGAGGTGATTAAAGTTTAAACTAATGAAATATTAACATCGTTGGGGTGGGCGAGTCTATTATGTGTGGGGGAGAGGGGAGGTAGCTTAATTGAGAGCCTATAGCAATGTTGTACGGGGCAAGCCTAACTTGTGCACGGAAAGTAGCTTCGTATTAAGACTATTGCAAAAATGCTGGAAAATTTACCAGACTTCAGCTGAATTTACAGGTATCTTTCTGTAAACAAAAAAATCTGGGTTGAGTTACAAAAAAAAAAAAAAAAACTAAACTATATACATCTTTTTCAATACGTCAAGAGGAATTTTCCTGTTGAAATGTAATGCTGAAAATCCAGTAGGCATAATCCTCGGGGAAATCCAGGTGATATATTGTAGGGAACCTTAACTAAGTTATAAGTTACCGGTACTCTAGGTTTGTAAATAATAACTATAATTTTTTAAAAACAAACTAGGCTAAATAACGAAAAAAACCGAAACCAAATATTAAGTTAGTCTTACCTTGATCTACCCGTTGTCTTATCAAAAACACGTTTGATTGTGTTCTGTTTTTTCTCCCATTCTTCTTTGGACAGAGGAGCCATTGTCTGAGACTTCTCGAGAATCTCTTTTGGGACTTCAGGTCCTACTATGGTGTCTCCTTCAGCTTCAGGCTTAGTTACTTGGATAGTCCCCTCTAATTTATGCTTCTTATCTTTGGAATGTTTATGTTTCTTCTTGCACTTCTTTTTGTGTTTTTTACTCTTTAGCCTCTTTGGGGAAGTAGTGGATTCGCTATCACTTGACAAATGTTTTCTTTTCTTGCTTTTCTTGGACTTTTTACTTTTCTTGTCCTTATCTGTACATGCATCATTAGGTAACTCTTCTTCAGCCATAACTGGCTCTGAGTCCATACGGAGAGTAGTAAATTAACAAGAAGGATGAGACTTACGTATTTACGTTGCAAACAAAAATATTGTTCATAACCACCTTCTCAGGTTCATTGGGCATAATTAGGCCTGACAAAAATCTCCTCATAGGAATACATAACCTAAAACCTAAAACCCTAAAATTTACCTAAAGTTTTAGTCCGATATGCAAGTAGGCCTAGATCCCTACCTTGTTTTGGTAACCTTCAATAGGTAACTTATTCAAATAATCGAAGATAAAACTATGGAACTTTGCTTTCAACTTCAACAAGAACCATATGTGACGCGATATTAAAATGAATCAATAAAAACTTTAAATTTTCTACCTTTAACAAGTCAGTCTTTTTTTACATTTGTGTGGGTGCCGGGTGGATGTGTTCGTGTTGTCTTCTGTTCTTCTGTTAGTTGTGGTCTACTGGTCTGTGGTCTGTCTTGTCCTTGTCAAGCTCAAGCTCAAGCAACTCTTTTTTTCTCTCGACACTCACTCGCTCCACTACCACCACCACACGACATAAACTCACAAATCCAAAGACAACAAAAGATTGCAATCTAGGTGAATGCCGTTGGTTTTCCATTGAGATAATAGATTATAACTGGAGTCACTACTCTCTGGTTAAACGTTAGAGAAAAACGTGCCACTGTCACTGAGCTAAAATTATAACTGGAGGTAGCACCGCCATGGCAGAAGTCTGTCAAAAGCGTGTCGCTGATTTTGTTAGGTTGGTATAGCAGCGAGTTTTCTTATCATAGCAATAACATGGCTTCTATAACTAGGTTGCATAGCAGTGAGTTTTTTTATCCAATAACATGGCTTCTTTTTAACTCACCCTCACGCAAACATGGCGGCTGGCGACACGCATCTTTGACATTCAGCGCTACCTCCAGTTAGAATTATAGCTCAGTGGCCACTGTTTTGGCTGGTTTGTTTTTGGCGTTTCGTGTTGTTAGGTTGGCCGTGTGATCGGTTGGTGGGATGCTGTCAAATAATTCCAATTCATTCGAACCTAACCATACTATTTATTTGGGGTTATGTTATCCGTTATTTCAAGGACTTGTATCAAAAACTTATTTAAGTTATGGCACAATAAAACCTCTGTATTTTTAAGTTATTTTGAAACATTATAAATTGTTTTTGTTTGATAGTAAATAAATACTAACTTATTTACCTCTTTTCAAGCTATTTGGTGAAAATAGGCTAGTCAAGTTTCCTGGTTTGGAGATATTGGTTTAGGCCAATAGCCCTATTGCATTTGATTAAATAACGACCATCGGTTTATGATCCTGTTAAAATGGGTTGCTCTTGCTCGTAAAATAAATAAATAAACTTATATTGCAATCATAATGTTGAGTTGGCAGATTTTTGTTTACTATCATCATTCATCAACAAAACAGGATGACGCCATCTTGATTTTGCCTCTAATTTGACAAGTCCCACCAACCCGATCACCCGGCCAACCTAACAAAACGAAACTCTGAAACAAAACCAGCAAAAACAGTGGTACGTTTTTAAAACACAGAATGGTTACTCCAGTTATTATTACAGCTCAGTGTGGTTTTCCCACTATTTTTAACAGTAAATTTGCTAATAATTAGATTAACAACTCGGTCTACATGGTGTTTCAATATGCCGCGAAAGTGTATTGTAATGCGTGTCATGTGCTGTGCTGAACAAGTTTCTACACCACTCGGGGTAACTAGAGTCTAAACCTTGGCTAAATCATCACGATGTTGTCCCCTGGCACTGCGGAGTGGGGGAAGCAAAGCATTCTATTGGCTGAGGGAACACCATTACCGCAACGATACGGTTTGTAACCCGGTGGTCTAATGGATAACGTGCCGGGCTGAGGATCTGAAGGTACCAGGTTCGAATCCTCTCGGTAGCACTAACTTTTTCTCTGAGATTTTTGCATTATCAGCAGGTTTGGTTAGGTTATGACAGTTTAATTTGTTAATTGAAACATTATAAAATTCAATTTGAGCTATTATAATTTTAGAACTATTTTTTTCTATTAGTAAACCTTGTTCGATTTTTCATTATCAGCAAGTTTGGTTAGGTTATGACAGTTTAATTTCATAATTAATAAATTCTAAAATTGAATTCAAGGCATTTATAATTTTATTTTATCAACAGAACTATTTTTTCGATTAGTAAACCTTCATTCGATTATTTTATATATGTTTTATATAATCAGCATGTTTGGTTGGTTAGGTTAGTTTATGACAGTTTAATTTTATAAATATTCATTTTTTAACTTATTGAAAAACTGCAGCATAGGTATATGATATGCATGTAAAACAACGCGGGCTTGTTTGGACGCCGTCTAGAGGGGAGGTGGAGGGAGAATCATTTCCCCCACTCCGCAGCGCCAGGGGACAAGATCGTGATGATTTAGCGAAGGTTTAGACTCCAGTCTCGGACTACCTACCTACCTAGACAGTGCAGGCTGCAAACTCTTCTCAATTTCAATTATAATGGCTGACTTTATGCAGATCGACTTTTATTGATGAAGCCCTTTGCTCAAACTTAAATACTAATTTAAGACAAGTAGACTAGATATGACAGTAGTCCACATATCTATGTCCACATATGTACGTATATTGTATATTGATGGACAGTGAACAATCGAAATAAATAAATTAGAAATATTCTTGTTGTGTACTGCGATTTGTGCAGATAATTTTGAATTATTTTCAAATGACGTCGACGACACCCCTGGTATTCCGAAATCTTCTATGATAACAATGATTTATACAGTTATCATATTACAGTTTTTAGCGAATTTCCTATATTGGTAATAAACTATTAATGTAAGTCTCATGATGAGACCTTAGACGAAGGACTAATTTATTTTTTCGTTTTTACCCATGAGGTCAAAAACACCGTTCAAAATTGTACACTATACTGTATGTTTATATTTACAGTAGTAATATACAGTATGTGCAGTGCACACACTGTTTAAGCAACTACCCAAGACAACCTCCAGAACTTTATGTCTGAATAATTCTGTGATTGCGCAAGACGATGATATTGTCCACACGGCCGCGGGAAAAGGTCAGAATTTCGCCTCATTCGTGGAAGGCGATGATGATCTCCACACGACAGATGATTACTATTTTTCACACTGGCGGGAGACAATTGCTATGTCCACACGACTAGGAGTGTAAGGAGAATAAGTAGTGAATAAGAGTGTAAGGAGAGGAGAATAAGTAAACTGTTCTAGTTTGCTTGTTTATGAACATATTTTGATAAAATTTTGAAAATGCATTTATTTCTTACTAAACTATTAACATTTTACAAACAATGTTAATAATGTTACAATATTGGTTCGTAACAATATTGATTGCATATGACGACCATAGAACTATAAACCATAGAACTATAACTTGTTGTCGGTCTATGATGACGACACGCTGTCATTTACCATCATCTTCGCCATCATCATAGACTAACCAACACAAGTAGACTTCTCATCCCATTGTAAATTTTGAAGCACGTTTTTCGTGTCTAGTTCATGTACGTGGCATAAAGGCGCTAGTGTCGACGAAACTTTGTTTCTATTATTTTAGGGTTAATTTCTTGATTTGTGCTTTACTGTTTGGTTATATAACTAGGGGACAAGTTATTGTTTATGATTAGATCGTATTATTTGGTTAAACGAGGTTTTAAATGGCTGTAATAACGGGAAACAAATTGTAAACAAAACACGACCTCTACAGAAAAACGGACAGAACTAACAATAAAATTGGCTTCAGCTGTTCCATAAGGATGGGAAATCTACTAGGGGAGTATGTTTTATCTATGCCATCATCTTCTGTAAGTGTTCCATCTATTGGTCTTGTATGATGGCTGGAGAGAAATAATATTACTTCTCTACTTACTTACTTCTCTCTTACTTGTCTATGCTGATAGTTTACCAAACCTGGTATTTTTTTAACGTAAGTAATTGGGGTCCTTAATCCCATAGCGTCTAAAACATTATTCCCATAACGTCTAAAATATACATTTTTTCATTGGCTGAAAAATCAAGATCACGGCCGGAGCGGAATGGCAAAACTGGTCCTGGTTATTTGGAACAAGAGACCACACACCACCAATCATCGTCGTGTGTGGATTGTGGAACTGGAATCGTCTTGCCTTCTATCAAGCGTTGCAGACATATTATATTGTAAATAAGGAATTATTATTAAAGAAAATCAAGAATCATTTTATACATTTTTAATCAATTGTACGAGAAAGAATCAAAATGCTAATAGAAAATCCCGAAGCATTCAAAGCCTGGATGACCACTGTCCTGGAGCCGTTGTAAGTAAATGGGCAATTCGTTAACTTGAGTAGAGAAATATTTTTTAGGCTATGCCCCTCAAACTCATAATCTTTATGAACGTAATATTTTGATCTAAGTTGGTTTTACTTTGAGGTGGTTAAAATAGATTTGTTAGGTTTATTTAAGTTTTTGGTGACACAAATATCCAACATTGTCTTAGTCCCAAGTGAAAATAGGCTACCCTCTATCAATATGCAGCTGTTCCCATTGGATTGGATGACAAGCCTTGGTTCTGGGCAAATTTAATTGTTGCTAACTTATTCATTTACATCCTAATAAATAATTTTAATTATTTCATTTGTCATATAGGCTCTATTACGGTCCATTACTTAAACATAAATGTACCCGATACCAAATAGGCCTATTCAGTTTAAAAGCCGCATTTAGACAAGTTTAAGCTTAACTCATTTCTGGTCTTGATGTTTTTTTATCAGTATTTGGCAGAATACGGATACCATATAGGCTAGTCCAATGTAGGTCGTTTAACTTTGCCTTTTGGCAGACCTAAGGTGGCATTATTGCACCTCAGCTAGTGATGGGAGAATCGAATACTTTAAAGAATCGAATACAGTGAATTCGTAGCCTCCCCTGTATTCGAATACTTTTACGAATACTTGTATTCGAACACCTTTGAGTATGCAAAGTATGGAAAATGAGTGTGTAATTCTTTTTTCATAATGCAACCGTTCTTTTGGTCACTGTTATTTCGTTTTACAGTAATTAATTCATTAATATAATTTATTTGATGTAATTTTAAATTATATGATTTTTAAAAGGTACATTTATTTTGACTTATAATTATTCCATGGTCAGTTACAGTCTTATTAATGTATTATTTTCTATTATATTAACTAATTAATATCTTTAATAATATGTCTTATTCATTTGTATGGATGATTTACATCAGATATGCATAATGTTATTTTGCCATGTAACTATATAAATCGGTTGTAGTTATAATAAATTCTACTTACTCAATTGCCCTCTACCAGTAGTAACCAAATATTTTAAATATCCAATATACTAAATGTTTCTAAATGTTAACGATTAATAATAATCTTATGTAAATTATAGGGCTAATGGTAAAATT